GTCTTGGACAAATTACCATACGCACAGTCACGAAACGAAACGCAACCATGATTTCTTTGCCTCTTCTTCTGCCGTTTCCCTTTGTGAGCTTCGTTTTTCTCTAGAATTCGTTTTGGTAGCTGCCACGTCGACCGAGCACAGATTCGTTCAATTTGTCAACGGAAGAATTCGTCGAGCGAACCGGTAGAAAGAGAGAAAAAAAAAAAAAAGAAACGATCCCCATCTCACAACCGGACCACCAAGAACGACGTGACCCGGAAGGGTGGAGACTCGTTCGCTATCGCGACAGTCACAATCAGTTTTCGACGCAATCTCTGACTGTCACTACGGGAGACGGACACCCGCCGACGAGGACACTTAACCTCGCGATGAACGACGGGCACGAAACGACGAGGAAATCAAGCGACTTCTTGGCACAGTTTCTTCTACCGTGGTATCTCTCGATCGAATAAAAAGCTAATAAAATTCTTCCGAGTTACTGCCGGATGTCTTTATTCGGGTCATACGGTACGAACAATGGCAAGGTTACTAGCTATTTTTCGTCGCCTCCCCATCGGCTATAAGGTATAGCTACCTTCGCACGAAGACGCAAAGAATTCCTTGTGAAAAGCGCGAGGGGTGGGACGATACGACCGTTAAGCAAATAAATTTAATGCGCTTGTAGAACGGCACCAATTTAAATGATAATGCGCGCTGTGTATGCTTCCAAGATTAACTCGTAATAGGCCGGAATAAATGTCGGCGGACCTGTTAGGCGTATCTAGCAGTGCTACATGGGGAACAGTAGGTGCTAACTACTCCTGTAGACAAGCTTGTTTATATTGGTGCGTCGTGTATCTCGGTAGCTACCGGTGAATTTGTCCCGTGCTCGATGGCGCCAAGCAGAAACTGGGTCGCGCATCATCGCGTCCCTCGATCTCTCGATATTCTCTTGGCCTAACGCCGATGAATTATTAGCCGGTAGAACTGCGTCTCCGCCGCGCACAGACTTGTAATTATCCGGACCGGACCGGTTATTAAATCGTACCGGTGTTTAATTATCGCGCAAACCAAGTCTAATTGCCAACGAATTAAATGTTAATGGAAGCAAGTTTCCTATTTAAAAATAAAGCGATCATTTGTCACCGAGGTTCGACTCGATTCGTTCAATTAAGTGAACAGGACACAAACCAATTTATTTTTGCACCGTATCAGTCTATCTGCGGCGTGTCAAGAACAAACGAACCATTAATAACGTCTCCTAAACTCGTACCAAAATCCGTCGAAAAAGCGACGAGAATAATTCGTCGGTGTAACAGTTTCCCCAATTTGACATCAACGTCAACGATCAGGTAAACTCCCATCTGCTCGCACTTCGCGTGTGTTATTGATTAAATAATTTTCGGAAGGAAGCACACCCTCGTAACTGAGTTAAAAAGCATCGCAAAGACGACGATAGCGAGCGAAAGGTCGAAGAGTCTTCGAACTATGAGGTAAGTTTGCCTCTGGGGATGTCTTGTCGGTGTTGTCGCGGATGGGATCATGCAAGCTGTGCTCTCCCTCCTCCCATCGACTCTCACCACCCGTTCTACGTCGGCGAACCTCTTTGCATATACATTCTGTAAGATTACTTTGTGCGGTTTACACCCTCGAACCCAGCAGCCACGGCGTAGCTGCTGCTCGTCCTTGAGCAGCCGTGCGCCGCGCGCGCCTCACCAGCCCTCAACGAGAGAGCTCGCTCCTTTTGCCAGGAGGCAAACTACCCTGCAAGTTTCACCTAGAGGGTCCTTAATGTATGCGGAACTATACGAGAGAAATTCTCCAAGTTCGGCATAGCCGTGTTAGGTACCTTTACGATGAGTATCTCCTAGCCTGGGTCTCGCTCTTTCTACCGACGCCAACAAAGGACCGACTACCGACAAGATTCGCTCATAGAAGAGGCGAACACGCGTGATCCTAATTAGAACGCGTCCTCCCCCGAAGTGTCGAAGTAAAAGCGGCTTTCTTGTTGAAGCGCGTTTTCGCGTGCCACGCTGCTGCTCTCTTCGAGTTCTCAAAAGCGCAAGTTCTGAAAAGAGGTGAGCGCGGAAAACCAGCGAAAAACAAACGACGTTTCTTCCTGTTTCCAAGGACGGCGAGATAGGCGTAGACGCGTAAAGTTTCCGTGCGGCGCGTTACAACGTTGTCGGGGATACAAGGGGGATAAGGTATTCCGTGAATGAAGGGTAAGAAATATACATACGATTACGAAAATTCTCACGAAGGTACAACTTTCAATAGTATTCTTTACCACCCACATTTTCAGCGAATTTACATAAAAACGAGCCAGGTCTTCGTAGCACCGAAGCCCGATGACTACGAATAACCGCATTAACTTCGCGGCACCGTTTTAATATTTCCTTCCTTTGGCGCGAACGGGAACTTACAAAACGCTTTAGCGACTCGGAAGTGAATTGTTCTGCTCCAAATTCGGCTTGACTCCATAGACCAGAGATAACGTTGGTCAGGAAATATTTCACGTCATTGAGCGATTAATAAAAGAATAAATAAACAAACAAATATACGATGCGTCAGTAAAAAATATAAACTAAACTAACTCGTACAACTAAAAATGAATATCGCTTTACAGTTAACAAGATGTGATAACTGTCGTTCCTATAAATATTTTAAAGTAATTAAAATGAAACGAACGTCGTTAACAAAGAACTGCAAATAATATAAATAATCAGATAATATTATAAAACGACAATGTAATATAATATCTCACGAAAATTGAATATTTTATCCCATAGACAAAACGCATGGCAGTCAAGGTGTTAATGCATCAATGCGTTTTCAAACATGTGAGAGCCCTCTCGATCACGATTCCCAGAGCTCTCCCTAATCGTCGACGTCACGGTGCCATAATCATTCGTCGACACGTAGCCACGGTTGAATTCAATGACCCATAACGAGGCTTTCGAAGAAAACACGAGGGAAAATTACGAGAAACGTGTTGATGCGACGACCGACTGGCAAACGACGCGGCACGCGACACAGCGCTAGACGAAGGGCTCATTAAGGATGCGAAGGGCGGAATACCGTGGTCATGCTGCATGATAATTACAGCAAAGAAAGCTTCGACCGGCCGGACGCTTTGCCTCTCTCTTTCGAGAGAGAGAGAGAGAGAGAGAGAGATAGCTCCCAAGAGATTACAGGATGTCCGGAGGCGAGAGGATTCTCTCGGCGTGTCCCGAAACCCTATCCACGCTCACGACTAATAAAAATTAACAACCCGGCTGGTTGGACGCGTACATGAAAGACGGACCGCCACAAATAGATGATGACAGCTGAATAATAAATAATTATCGTTGGCCCACGCGCCACCCGTGAGCTCCTTTGCGGCGAATGAAGTGTAGACGAATCCCGCCTTCCAAACGATTCGTATTTCCGGTTGACTTTACATCGCTCGCATTCACCTTAGGGAGAATATCGAATAATGTTTCTCACGAAGCCGAGAGATTTTTCACGTTCCTTCCGAAGGATGAACAACCCAGATACCGGAATTGTAGGCCACCCAGACAATATTCTATTGTTCGCAGAGCCTCCAGAATATACAATGAATATGAAAATTCTTGAGAATATGTAGGCGCGTCGAGGAAGGTACGTTTTCTTCACCGAGCGGCGAGTTGTGCATACAGCATGGCACAGCGTTGGAGCATAGCGAGCACGAATGGGGGCTCCTTCCGACTGCCGCTAAGGGTTCCACGTGGCCGGTCCTTTTAATCGTTCGGCACGATAAACATATCGAAATTATGATGGAGGATCGAGCGCGTAAAGGACGAGCGGTGGTGATCGTGCAAGCTTTGCGGCCGCGGCGGAAAGGATCCTCTCGTTCCCGCCGCGTCTGCCTCCTCCACTTTTAATTTTCAGGCGCGGCTAATTATGATTTACGGCAACATCGACGCAACATCCTGATCGGTACGCGAGATACCGCCCGCAGGATATTCAAATGCGATGAATATTGCTCGCCGCGATAAACGGCGCACGAACAGCGACAGACGAGATGAGAAAGAGAAAGAAAGAGGGGGAGCGAGAGGGCGAAGCTGCGGGAGAGCAGATAGAGAAAGACGCAAAGGACGCTGACTGGCGGGAGGTGCGCGCGTGTAAAGGATACGAGAAAAGGATTCTTAGTAGTCTATTCGGTATGCAAGATGAGCAGCCAGACCTGTACGCACCGCGTCCCTTCCTCGCCAAATAAAAGGAGAAAAAGGACGTGTGTATCCTTGCGTGTGGATTATTCGATATATCGAAAGCCGGCTGTCCGCCGACTGTACGTTCGCTTTTTCTCCAATAACTCAGTGTCAAACGCGAAACAAACTCGCAGATGGGTAGTTATGATTTGAAAGCGAAACGTTTAAAAACACCTCATGTTATTAACCGATCTTATCTCGAGGAAATAAAAGATACTTATTTATAACTGGGGAGCTGCTTGATACGTGTTCTCACATGAATTACATCCGCGTGAAGATCATAGTCAGATAATATAAGCTTTCTGTTAGAGCAAAATAATTTGTCGATATCTTATACGAGATGAGGGATATATCAGAGTAGCTACACGATTATGCCGTTTGTTGTACGTTTAATGACTGTTTCGAAGTGTGTGTGCGCGACACCGTCGAATAATTAGCTCCAAACGCCATGAGAATATATTTTATGAATGGATATCGATATCCATTATTCCCGTAATTACCATGCTTCGTTACTCTGTTCTTTATCTTTTAATACCTGCGCTATTTTTCTTATTCGCATGGCTCGCTTTGTTATCGCGATTAAACAGTTACTTGTATAGGTACCTTATAGCCATGACGTGCCTATACAATTTTTCAGCGATCAGAATGACTATAGAATACGTAATTCCGGGGAGAATAAATAGCGTAACTGCTATGCTATATGACGGTCGGAGTACAATACTCCGATGAGTGCTATTGATCGTCTTAAGAGGGAGAAAAGAAAAGAATTATTGAAAGAATGTCGATTACCTTGTCGGATCGCTTTTTAGTAGGTGTGATAGTGCCATTAGACCTGCCATGGAGATCGGTCTCGCTAGCCATCCGATTGAAACGTTGCATCCGCTCACGAAAGCTTAATTGCTCGGTTGAGCCTGGATTTGTCGCGACAGCCTCATCTTCCTGCATGTTTAATATCTCGAATTGTCAAGTCGCGGGGGATAGTTACGTGTACAACTACATCCAACTACTGATGAAAGGTGGAACCAACAACGAGACAGAAACATAACATAGAGAGGGTGCCAAAAACCGTGTGCTAAACGTACGAATACTAGACGTGACTAATACACATTGGAAAAGAGTGTCTATGCCATATACAGGTGTGCAAGAACCCCCGAAATATCGGGTCAGATCGGGAACACGAAATTTTTTCCGGATCGGGACGGATACCCGAAAATTTCGAGATTCACGAATTTATCGAGATTCTCGAAAGAATCGGGATTCCCGAAAGAGTTGGGATTTGGGAAAGGATTGGGAACAAGCTTAAATAATTCGTTAAAGCCCACGCCTTCAACTGTATCGAAAGGTCGTAGATCTAGAACCATCATTCGAGCAATTCCTTCTGTCATATCTTTTGGTTTAACAATCTTTCGCGTATCATTTTTGTACATGCGACAAATTTTATATCGATTCAGTTTCTTTTCTAGTACATATACTAATATTTGGATGCATATGCTTCAAATGGCGTAATAAACCAGTAGTATTTGCATACTTAGTTTTAAATTCATGGTGACAATGCGTGTATTCCGCCTTTGTATCATCTTTTTCTTGAAAATGTTCCCAAACAGAGCTTCTCTTCACCTTCTTTCTTTGCACAATATCTTCTGCACTACTTCCTGCTACCACAACTTTACTCTCACTATCACTCGACATTTTTTTTTAAAGATTTTTAATCTTTATTAAATTCACAGATTTTGAAATATACGTCTGAACTTCCCGAATTTCTCAGCGATACTGCTCAACAGCGTACATAATATCCAAGTACTAA